TCAATATCTGGCATGTCATCCTCTAAATTCAAGCGCTGCATATTGCCCTTATTACCCTACCCCACAGTACCCCTTTTCTTCTTGTAATCATTGCGATAGCCCTCACTATGAATCATGATTAATTTTAGAAAGGAAATGAAATGAAGAGGGTGTTGGGATCTGCTTATTCTGCACCTCATGGGATCAATGTAGACTTCAGTGTGCAACGAAGAAAATTCTTCAGAAGGTCAGTCGTCTGGAAAATGCGTTGTAGTGTCTACAAGCTTTCGGTTTTTTTGAGCTGCTTTATTCCAAGTCCTGGCAGATTTATTTACTTGCGGAGAGTCTGTGATTAATATTTGGTATTTAGTTATACATAGATGTGGTCTAAAGAAACCCTCACACCATAGCGTTCACGATCAAGACGGGGGTAGACTATAAGGAATGAAAGCTACCTTGCCCAGATCGTAATATTTTAATGTGATTAACAATTTACAATACGGACAAAGTATTTCAATCTAATGTAGTGCTCAATGAGAAAGAACACAGGAGTAAACCGACGACGAAAAAATAGTTCCGTATTTCTAAATAATAAGATATAATATTAAAATCGAAATATTGTCTCGTCCGATTCCTGACCTTTTCCACAGAATTTCCATTTATTTTACTTTGCAAAAGAAACATTTAATCTATAATATTTAAAATATATGTACGACAATGTAATTAGGCGTAATAATCTTTAACCGACTGACCTAATGCCTTCTAACCCTGACCCTAACAACCACGTTCATAAAGACCCGCGAAATTACTAGCATATATTATGCCTTAAACTGAATCTGGGAATTGTTACATAGAATTGAAAAATAATAATCAAAATAAACTACATTAAAAATGGTCCAAGTGAGCGACGACTCAAACAGTATTACTTTATTTGCTGTGTAAACATACCATATTTCTTCTTAATATGGCAATTTATAAAAAATAGTTTTGTTAATGAAAGTTAAATACTTCTTTCCTGAACAACATCGTGACCTTCTTAGTTATTGTTTACTATGCAGTAAAGCTGGACTGAGCCAACAATATCAATGTATACTGCTTGTGTGCTGGTAATAACCATCTCCACCTACATATTACAATATTACCTTTATCAAAAACCTACATCAACAATATAATATCAATTCCCTCTCAATAATTATAATAGACAACTTTTATTAATTTATATTACCTTTAACATAAACCTACACCAACAATATAATATCAATTCCCTCTCAATAATTATAATAGACAACTTTTATTAATTTATATTACCTTTAACATAAACCTACATCAACAATATAATATCAATTCCCTCTTAATAATTATAATATACAACTTTTATTAATTTATATTACCTTTAACACAAACCTACACCAACAATATAATATCAATTCCCTCTCAATAATTATAATATACAACTTTTATTAATTTATATTACCTTTAACATAAACCTACATCAACAATATAATATCATTCCCTCTCAATGATTATAATAGACAACTTTTATTAATTATATTACCTTTAACATAAACCTACATCAACAATATAATATCAATTCCCTCTCAATAATTATAATATACAACTTTTATTAATTTATATTACCTTTAATATAAACCTACATCAAAAATATAATATCAATTCCCTCTCAATAATTATAATATACAACTTTTAATAATTTATATTACCTTTAACATAAACCTACATCAACAATATAATATCAATTCCCTACAACTTTTATTAATTTATATTACCTTTAACATAAACCTACATCAACAATATAATATCAATTCCCTCTCAATAATTATAATATACAACTTTTATTAATTTATATTACCTTAAACATAAACCTACATCAACAATATAATATCAATTCCCTCTCAATAATTATAATATACAACTTTTATTAATTTATATTACCTTTAACATAAACCTACATCAACAACATAATATAAATTCCCTCTCAATAATTATAATATACAACTTTTATTAATTTATATTACCTTTAACATAAACCTACACCAACAATATAATATCAATTCCCTCTCAATAATTATAATATACAACTTTTATTAATTTATATTACCTTTAACATAAACCTACATCAACAATATCAATTCCCTCTCAATAATTATAATATACAACTTTTATTAATAATGTAAGTTAAATGCATCGTTATCGACCTTCCACTCCATTGGTTATAATCGTCTGACAGTTGATTTTATTTCCTATCACGTGCATTACAATTCTGAAGCATAAATTAAATATAGGATTAGTTTGGATCTCTATTATGAGGCGCTCACCAACTTTGCAATAAGGGCATAGTGGTCTTGGACTTCTGAGTCAAAATAATAATTTTTCACAATTCTTCGTTACAGTTTGTGAATTAAGAAAAGGCGTTTCCTCTGTAGTTTTTTTTTTAGTTCATCTAATTAGTCTGTTTCAATGAAATTTCTGTGATATCCACAATGTTATATTCATAATGTCATAATGTTATACCTTTTGAACTAGTTAGCTGAAATTCTCTTTCAATCGCTCCATCATCGTCTGATTTAGATAACCATCGATTACACACAAACTCATAACGTCGACCTTTAGATGGTATTTCAATACTTACTGTACCTAAGTACCACCCAGCACTAGAGCCGGAGTCGTCATGTTCTATTTTAATTCTTTCAATCTAAAATCAGACAGTCAATAATCTACTAGTAATAGTAATGTAAATAATGTATGATATTAACAATAAGTGTTTCCTTGTCAACATTCAAAACAACGTCAAACATTTTCTTAGAAATCCAAAATTCTAGGAGTAAAAATTTAAATCAAATAGTTATAGACGTGTGGGATTTCAAAGAAACGTTCAAGTGAGAGGCATTTTTGGGCAACAGTCGATAATTCATCTTTCGAACATATTTCAGATATGCTGAATCGGAAATGGATTCTTTACCAAATTTCATTTGATTCCATAAAAAAATCTAGTTTTTAGAGCGTTTACAAGCAAATGTTGACGGAAGAACGGACGGGCGGGCTGACGGACGGACGGACAGGGGTGTCAACAATATACGTCCACATAGAGAGATGTGGGCGTATAAAAATCAACGGTTGAAGGTGGTTATAATCTACATTAGCACCCAAATTTACGATAAAAATAAACACCAATAAAAACAGTGTTAAGATAAGATAAAAGAAATACAAGTGAAACCCTGCTGCAAATTTTGTAGAACATATTTTATGTTCAGTCTTTATTTCTATGGTTATCTAATTTCCTTACCTGTCCTATGACCGCAGCTGTAAGTATAAAAGTATCAGTGTAGTTTACTTCAAACGGATCAGAGTGATTAAGTGATTGGTCTAGTTGTAAAGGACCTGTATTTCCAAGACTACCATAAATTCTCAGAGTAACTTTGGCGTCGGTCCCTGCGTAAACTACATCTCCTGTTTTTACTTCTACTTGATAAGAGATACCTGAAAAATCAGTCAACAATTTCATATATGTTTTCATTAGAAACACTCTAATTGGTAGTATTCATCTTCACAATGATCAAGATATAACATCGTCATCTTCTACAATGATCAAGATATTACATCTTCATTATCTGCAATGATCAAGATATTATATCTTCATTATCTACAATGATCAATATATTACATCTTTAAATTCTACAACGATCAAGATATTACATCTTGATTTTTACAATGATCAAGATATTACATCTTCATTTTTACAATGATCAATATATTACATCTTCAACTCTTACATGAGAGAGGTTGCTGCCAAAGTGGGACCTGAAAGGACACTTCCTGTCTTATGATGCTTGTAACATTGATCAGCTTTATACATCCTCTGAGCATCAGTCTAATACAATTCAAAAAGTCGTTTGCACTATTATCATTATTAATAAATAAACCAAGTACTAACAATCTGAACCGCAAAACGCAACCCGAAATACGTCGTAAATTATACACGAAAAGATTTCCGAAATTCTATTTGTTTTTCTATGTGTCCAGCCTATTTCATCAACATGATTTAACTTTCAACGTGGTGATTAACATAGTGACTGTACTTCGCCTATGAACACGAAACAGTTCTAGTTTCAGCACCTCCGTTGAAGATTATGAACACGTGTTCATTAACAGTGTTCTACTAATGCTAGATGAAGTTATGGAGAAAGGTAGAACGGTGTAAATAGTTTTTAATATCAAACTTTACCTTCGGGTAAAAACGTAACCATACCAACATCTACTATTGGTGAATGTGGAAACTGATTATAAACATAGCATATCTGACGCCCTTTATGATACGCAAAACCAAAACATACGTCATCGGCTAAACAAGATTGTGCACATCGTATCCGTCCAGGTAAAACTCTATAATCATAATATCCTGAAAACAGTTGGTCATTTGAGAAAGAGAAATAAGTTTTAGTGATTATCTCAAAAGATTCACCAATTACAAATATAAACATACACCTCAACAATATCGACAACATTTTCCTCGGTTTGACTTGACGATACGAAACAATTAATTCTGAAGATAGTGACAAGACTTTTCTGCGTTAAAAGAAACATGCATCAATTTTCTTATTATTGATTGCTGTACAATTTAAAAATTGTTATTTTAACTGACTTCAATGATATGAAGTAAAGAAAATGACTAAAGTATTTCAGTAGGAATTCAGAAAATAAAAAATACAGATTACATTTGTACAGTCTTTGTTGTGATTATTATTTTAAAAAGGATTGTTGTGCTCTAGTGCAGTCATATAACTCATATTTTTATAACAAATTACCCAGTTCTTATCGACAATAGACTGATATAACGATTTATTAATGATTAGGTTTTCAAGAGGCTGTATTAGCAATTTAAGTCATTAGATGCTATGTATCAAGTCGAGAACATAGACTGTTGTTAGCTACTATGTATCGAGACGAGAACATAGATAGTCTGTTGTTAGCTGTTATGTATCAAGTCGAGAACATAGATAGTCTGTTGTTAGTTGCTATATTTATCGAGACGAGAACATAGATAGTATGTTGTTAGATGTTATGTATCGAGACGAGCACATAGATAGTCTGTTGTTAGATGCTATGTGTCGAGACGAGAACATAGATAGTCTGTTGTTAGATGCTATGTATCAAGTCGAGAACATAGATAGTCTGTTGTTAGTTGCTATATATCAAGTCGAGAACATAGATAGTATGTTGTTAGCTGCTATGTATCGATACGAGAACATAGATTATCTGTTTTTAGCTGTTATGTATCAAGTCGAGAACATAGATAGTCTGTTGTTAGCTGCTATGTATCGAGACGAGAACATAGATAGTCTGTTGTTAGCTGCTATGTATCGATACGAGAACATAGATAGTCTGTGGTTAGCTGTTCTGTATCAAGTCGAGAACATAGATAGTCTGTTGTTAGCTGCTATGTATCGAAACGAGAACATAGATAGTCTGTTGTTAGCTGCTATGTGTCGAGACGAGAACATAGATAGTCTGTTGTTAGTTGCTATGTGTCAAGTCGAGAACATTGATAGTCTGTTGTTAGATGCTATATTTATCGAGACGAGAACATAGATAGTATGTTGTTAGCTGCTATGTATCAAGTCGAGAACATAGATAGTCTGTTGTTAGATGCTATATTTATCGAGACGAAAACATAGATAGTCTGTTGTTAGTTGCTATTTATCAATTCGAGAACATTGATAGTCTGTTGTTAGCTGCTATTTATCAAGTCGAGAACATTGATAGTCTGTTGTTAGCTGCCATGTATCGAGACGAGAACATAGATTGTCTGTTGTAAGATGCTATATTTATCAAGTCGAGAACATTGATAGTCTGTTGTTAGCTGCCATGTATCGAGACGAGAACATAGATAGTCTGTTGTTAGTTGCTATTTATGGAGACGAGAACATTGATAGTCTGTTGTTAGCTGCTATGTATCAAGTCGAGAACATAGATAGTCTGTTGTTAGCTGCTATGTATCGAGACGAGAACATAGATAGTATGTTGTTAGATGCTATATATCGAGACGAGAAAATAGATAGTCTGTTGTTAGCTGGTATGTGTCGAGACCAGGACATAGAAAGTCTGTTGTTAGTTGCTATGTATCAAGCCGAGAACATAGATAGTCTGTTGTTAGTTGCTATGTATCGAGACTAGAACATAGATAGTCTGTTGTTAGCTGGTATGTATCGAGACGAGAACATAGATAGTCTGTTGTTATCTGGTATGTATCGAGACGAGAACATAGATAGTCTGTTGTTAGTTGCTATTTATCAAGCCGAGAACATAGATAGTATGTTGTTAGTTGCTATGTATCGATATGAGAACATAGACAGTCTGTTGTTAGTTGCTTTGTATCGAGACGAGAACATAGATAGACTGTTGTTAGTTGCTATTTATCAAGCCGAGAACATAGCTAGTATGTTGTTAGTTGCTATGTATCGAGACAAGAACATTGATAGGCTGTTGTTAGCTGGTATGTATCGATACGAGAACATAGATAGCCTGTTGTTAGATGGTATGTATCGATACGATAACATAGATAGCCTGTTGTTAGCTGGTATGTATCGAGACAAAAACATGGAGTATTTGTTGTTAGCTGCTATTTATCGATACGAGAACATAGATAGCCTGTTGTTAGCTGGTATGTAACGAGACAAAAACAGAGATAGTATTTTGTTAGCTGGTATGTATCGAGACGAGAACATAGATAGCCTGTTGTTAGCTGGTATGTATCGAGACAAAAACATAGAGTGTTTGTTGTTAGCTGCTATATATCGAGACAAAAACATAAAGGGTTTGTTGTTAGCTGCTATGTATCGAGACGAGAACATAGATAGTCTGTTGTTAGCTGGTATGTATCGAGACGAGAACATAGATAGCCTGTTGTTAGCTGGTATGTATCGAGACAAAAACATAGAGGGTTTGTTGTTAGCTGGTATGTATCGAGACGAGAACATAGATAGCCTGTTGTTAGCTGGTATGTATCGATACGAGAACATATTATATAGCCTGTTGGTAGTTGCTATGTATCGAGACAACCCTATGTCTGTTGTTAGCTGGTATGTATCGATACGAGAACATATATAGCCTGTTTTTAGCTAGAAAGGAAGTTATTTTCTTCTTCAATTCATCTTGTACAAAAATAATTATTAATGTGAAGGTCAAAACTCATTGCCTTTTTAAAGAAGTAGCTATCGGGTTAACTTGAAAATGGACAAAATTTACTTTGTTTTCAATGAAGAAGAAATAAAGAAAGTGAAAGAACCAGATATTGATGAAGGTCTACAGTTTCCATATGTGATAAATTGAAAAACTTTGTCTTGATTTGTTTTATTTATGATAAAGTTTATAACATAAAAAAAAATGTTTATAGGAAAGGTGGTGGGTTGGTAACGAATTCTCTTGCAGGAGCTGCGTCATTTCCGGTTAACTCTTTCTGGAATTGCACGAACCACAGGCATAGGACGAAGAATTGGAATGTCCCAAATAGAAGTCAAATATGAACCCGATACACATAAAAAGGATGGAAAACCTCTTTACAATCCCTTTAATAAGCAAAGTTTTTTCCTGGCACAATATACAATATTGCAATTATAATTTTCCATTTTTTTTTTATTTCTATTGACTCAAAACAAAGCCATTGTTTAATGTTTTCTGAATCAACACA